GCACGTTCAGCGTCTTCGCAGTCCCTGAGCCGGAATACCTCCGCCAACAGCACAGGCGCGCCTCCGCCTTCCGCTTACCGCCACGAACCCGATCAATACCTTGCGGCGGGACCTAGTGGTATAGATCGGCGCCCGAGTGAGATGTTGCGGGATCTTGCAAGCTACACCCCAAGGGGTCCCCTTGAACTGCATGAAAACGACGTAGACGGCTATTGGGAGGACGAGGACGAAGAAGACGACGAAAACCGCTTCGTCAATTTCTCGCTCCTTTCGCACATCGCAGTGCAGTTACGCGACAAGGTCCCCCGTGGCACACACGTCAAGGGCAGCATCCCGTATCCTCGAGCATTCACCGGCAAGGATATCGTTAGCACTATCCAGACGCAAATACAGCGCGAACTGGCGATCAACCACGGGATATCAACGAGCGATCGACGCGCCGCGTTGCAAGTTGCACGCAGCTTGCAGAGCCAGTTGTTTTTCTACGAAGTAGAATGGGGTGGGCGGGTGCTGCAGGATGGTGTGGAGGATGTGTATATGTTTTTGGATGATCAAGAGGGTGGTACGGATGCTGCCCCCGAGCGCGAGGAGCTTCCGACCGGCGTCGTGACGATGTTGACGAAGTGTTATTCCCCCAGCTGTGGAGACGAGGTGCCTTGCTACTCTTACGGCTGTCCTCGAAGGGTGCGTATTTGACAGTCGCCTCACATCTCGACTCTGACGCTTTCTAGGGAAATTCGTTCGTCGCCGCGACCCCTGGCCCTGCTGAGAGTCCAGCCGTTCCCCTGCCCGGGGACTGGTCACATACCGTGCCTCAAGAGGTGCTCACTCAACTCCCCGAGAGCGAGATTAATCGCCAGACGTGCGTAATCTGACCATTTTTGCATGATACGTACCTCACATTCTCCGAAGCATCATTCACAAGTTGATCAGCAAGGAGGCGCAGTATGTGCAGGATCTCGACACTGTAGAAAGCGTTTTCCTCAAGCCGCTTCGGGCGGCGAATCCGCCTGTGATCCCACTCGAAAGGCTGGAGGACTTTATAGACGAAGTTTTTGGGAACATCCTGGACTTGCGAGAGTGCAATCGGCGGCTGCTTGAGGTTATGTATGTTCGGCAGCGCGAGCAATCACCCGTCATCCAGCGTATAGGTTCGTGTCTGATGATAGCGATGGAGTCGACAATTTACACTCGTTTGCAGGCGATGTGTTCCTTTCAGCTGCCGCTGAATTCAGACTGGCATATCCTATATACATTGGGCATCATCCACTGGCTGAGAAGCGTATGAAGGAGGAGATGGATGGGAATCCGGAATTGCGGTTGTTCCTCGAGGTGCGTACTCTTTACAATCCCTCCCAACATTATGTTCGTTTGAATTGATGATATTCTTCTGCATTTTCTAGCACTGCTCGCGGCAAACTTCTCGATCTGGCGACACAATGCGGTTCGATTTGAAACACTTCCTTAATCGACCCGCAGAACACCTGCAGAAGTATCCTGTTTTACTCGAGGCGATATACCACGAGACGGCGGAAGGGAATCCCGACGCGGATTATCTCATGGAGGCCGTTGGCGCGATACGCAATTTGCAGAGTGTTGCGCAATTGCGGACGTTCCAGGCTGCGATGGGCAAGGGAACCCCGGGAAAGTGGGAGTGGCACGACCTTGTTGCAGAGGATGTGCGCAAAGCGCTACCGAAGGAGGAGCAGAAGCGGCAATCGTGCGTTATAAGCTGGGAGTACGCAAGCAAAGGCTGACTCGTCTTTCAGAATTATCTTTGAGTTGATTAAGGGTGAAATGTCCTACGTAAAGGATTTGGAGAACATTGGAGTCGTGAGTCTCTGTGTCCCGCTAATGCATTCCAATCCAACCACTCGGACTAGATGTATGTCGAGGGGTTACGAGCAGCCCGACCACCAATCATTGCTCCGGACCGCCTCGAACAGTTCATATCAGACGTGTTCCACAATTTTGCGGATCTGCATGCACACCATCTCAAGCTTGTTCAAAAGTTTCATGAAATACAACGCGAGCAGCACCCTACCATACGGAGTGTCACTGCAGCGATGTTCGACGCTGCCTTGAATTTCCGTGACGTATACATGGAATATATTCCCAACTATCCTATCGCAGCGTACAGGATAGATGACGAAATGGCCAACAACCCTGATTTTAAAGGTTTTGTCGATGTGCGTCTTGTCTCCATTTTCTCCTCCTTGCACACTGACACTGGTTTAACTGCAGTCTTGTGTACGGCATCCGGACGCACATCGACTCGACATGAAGAACTTCATCAATCGCCCGATTCCGAGGTTGCTTCGGTATGAGCTGCTGCTCAAGGGTATCTTGGACGAGACAGCTCAGAACCATGATGATCGTAAGGAGATTCCGCAGGTTCTGGAAGTGATCAAGGCCTTGGGGAAGGATACCGAACCGGGTGTTGTTTCGGCCAAACAGAAAGTCGAGCTTTGGCGGTATAATTCGAATTTCGTTTTCAAACCTGGAGAGGCCGTCGTACGTATAATCTGATTTATTCTCTATCAACGATGGCTGATCCAGGTTCACAGGATATGGACCTCCTTGATCCTAACCGGTCGCTAATTTTTGCGGGCAAAGTCATTCGCCAACCTGACAATACAATTCCCACAATAGAATGGAGCGGATGGACGGAGCTGTTTGTTGTGCTGTTTGATAATTATTGTGAGTCTGTCGACTTTCGTCGTTCAACGCTCAATATTGTCACCAGTGGTAATGACGAAACCCAAGGAGAGGGACGGAGTGACGAAGTACCATGTTAATCGACGAGTAAGCTCCTTTGTCGAACTCGAGGAGATTGACGCTGACTCAATGTCTAGCCAATTCCTTTAGATCTACTAACGCTTGTGAACTTCACTGACCCTCCAACGCAACGCGGTACCGGTTTGCTTCGCAACTTGCGTGGAGAGCGTGGAGGCCCAGAAAATGCCGTTGGTAACTTGACCCCCGAGAGTGCCGGGGACTCTCGTGCGGTGTATCCATGGACGATTCACCATAATGGTCGTCTTGGCGGCGCACAGATACTCTTCTCCGAGTCAGCACAGGCTCGCTCGGAATGGAAACAGAAGTTGGAGGAGGCGCTGGGGATTCGCAAGGTTGTGCAGGAGTCGAACAGAGTATTTGAGGTCGAGACGTTGAGCGCGGACACGTTCTTGGTGCCCTCGGTTGCGATCGGTACACCGTCGCCGCAATGGAATCAAGACACTTCGTACACAGGCAAAGTCACTTGCTCGGTGCCATTCAGTGAGTCTAATAAGAGCGTCGGGCCCTGAATGCTCACATTACCTCAGATACTGCTGACGGCCGTGGCCTGGTTGCGATTGGGTGCGCTGAAGGCGTGTGGATTGGCTTCCGGCACGATCCTCGGTGTATGTTTGTGCTTTCTCCATGTCATGCCAAACTCAACCCATTTGCTAGCGATGCGCCGTGTCCTTCACCTCAAAATGGTGACGCAGTGCGCGATGCTGGACGAGTTTGGTATCTTCCTCGTTTTGGCCGACAAGTCTTTGTTCGCCTATCACATCGAGGCGTTAGTACCATCTTCACCGCATGCCAGCCACGCATCACAGGTCCCACAAAAGCTGAATGGGACGAAAGACGTGCATTTTTTCACTGTGGGGACGCTGCATAACCGGACGCTAGTAGCGTATATGAAAAAGAAGGGGGTATGTGCATCGTTCACGTTATTTCAAATTTTTCTTATCTCTTTCGTTAGCTCGAGAGTGTTTTCCGCGTCCTTGAGCCTGTCGCTGACAAAATCAACGAGCGGGTCAAGGCCCCTGCCGGATTGGGCTCGCGTCTTGGTTTTCGATCCACTAAATCCGAATGGTTCAGAGTATACAGGGTTAGTATTTTTTTTCAGCCGCCCGACGACTTTTTAATTTAATGGTTTCTTCCGTAGGACTTTTTCCTACCGTCAGAGTCTTTTGATTTGTACTTCTTGAAAGCCAAGGTAGTCATTTTGTGTACCAAAGGCTTCGAGATCATGGACCTCAACCAGTGCGTAATATCGTTCGATGTTTGTATTACGCTGACCAGGTATGCAGTTTCACGAGTGTTACAATCCCGTTGCGAGATGAAGCGCATCTTTCGCACTTGTCCAAGCGATGCGATGCTTGTCGACCCATAGGAATGTTCCGCTCAAATGAAGACGGTTTCCTGTTGTGTTACAACGGTTGGTTATACTTTTTATTTGTCCCTCATAGAAACTGACCTCTGGCTTCAGAATTCGGTGTTTATGTCGACAAACACGGAGAACCTCGACGGAATGGAGTTACCATTGAATGGGAGGGTAACGCTGAAAAGGTCGCCCTCCACCAGCCGTATATCCTTCTTTTCGGATCTCGTTTCATCGAGATTCGGAACATTGAAACTGGGCGGCTGGTCCAAATTATCCCGGGCAATGACATACGCTGCCTGTGGGACGGGCGGGGTGTCGGCTCTACTATTGTAGCAACACCAAACCCCGATGGAGAGCCAACGGTGCAAGAGGCTCAAGTGCACGGCGTCATGAATGGAGACTTGATGTCCTCCGCTGCTCGCACGTCTCGCGCTGCTGCCCAACACGTCTTCGAACTCATCCCAACCATCCCATTATTCTTACCGGAGCCAGTACCCGGTCCCTCTGCTTCGCAGTCGCAATACTTCACTCGCCCTGGGCTATCTGGTTCCCAGTCACAGTATTACGGTCAAAATTCGTCCTACTCGCCCCCACCCCAATCACCTGTCCGAGCCTCTGGATCTAATAGTTGGCGATGAGAATGTAATGATATACTGTACACTATACCTTATGCGCTTCGTAGTTTGTATTTCTTATGGAAATTTCGGAACCTTGGAAATATTTTTGCCAGTCTACGCTGACGGAAAACGACAGAAAGCAATAAAAATTGTTGTCACCACTGGTGGGCAGCTCGCATATCACCACTTCCAAACGCGAAGCTGGATTCACGAAAAAGTGAGGACACCTGCCCCAGAGAGGCTCGAACTCTCGATCTCACGATGTCACTAACAGTCGTGCGCCTTAACCAACTGGGCCATGGGGCATTGATAGTCGTTCCCCCGTAGCGGACAAGACCGCGGCACCAGCTAAATCGAAGCCAAAGCCGAGAGCAAGCTGAGAGTCCGTTAAAGCCGAAAAACTCTCAACTTGAACTTGTCCCAGCTTGCTTCACTTCGTCCATGACTATGTCATTCAGGTGCTCAAAGACTTTGCACCCTATCTATAACCGACGTCTATACACCAGTCTACACTCGTCTGACGCTCGAGCTCTTGATGAATGGATCGCGCCTCCGAAGCAACTTGTTCTCAGCGACTCGTTCACTATTGAACGTATTTCCGATCTATACTTGACGCTTCCTACTCGGGATGGTACAAAAACTGTCTACAATCCTCCCGAACTATCCGCCCCCCTTCCATACGGCTCCCATCTAACCTTCTTCCACCCTCGGAATTCAGAGAGTAAGCTTCGCGCCGATGGGACGGATGCCGACTTTTGCCCACCTCCACCATTGACGAGGCGTATGTGGGCTGGCGGTCGCATGACATGGAATTCACGAAACCCGTTACGTATTGGAGAAAGTGCAGTGTCTACTTCCACTGTGCAATCTGTTGAAAAGAAGGGATTTGACAAGGGGACGCCGATGGCGTTCGTCAAACAAAGGATTGAAATCACTGCGTCGGGCCAAAGAGAGCCTTCGGTGGTGGAGGAAAGGTCGCACGTTTATATTGCTGATACTGCAGTTGGTAGTAGAGTCCCTCGAGATGGCAAGCCTACTGCTGGGTGTCCTGCCCTGCCAGAAACCTGACCATTCATCAGTCAAGGGCATTCCGTCAAAGACTGATTTCTCCTTCACCTTTACTCCTTCTCCAATAACTCTCTTTCGCTTCTCCGCTCTTACCTTCAATGGACACCATATCCATCTCGATAAGGACTATGCCCAATCAAAGGAAGGTTACCCAGGTCAGTCGTTCCCGCATGCCCTCGTATGGTTGAAAGTCATCTAGGCTCATTCAGAGAGACTCGTACACGGGCCCCTGACGGCGTTGATGCTTCTCGAAACCACAATGCTTCACAAACCTAACGCAAAATTGGCACAATTCGATTATCGAGCCAGAAATCCAGTCATCGTTAACCAGCGCATGACTATCAACGGTGTTTGGAACGGTGATCATAGAGCCTTTCTTTGGGCCGTGAATGACGAGGGTGTTGTCGGGATGACTGGGGAAGTTGAGCTCGGGATTGACTAGAGCTGCTTGGGCGCCATAATTTCGATCGACCGCCCTCGGTAGCTGGTAGCGCTGATCCAGAGATGTTGGAATTCAAGTGCTATGTTCATCTGACCTCATCACTCGCAGGAGCTTGAAGACATGTTTTGATTTTAATGAACGAGCTTGCGAATAAGTTCTCAAGGAAAAGGAAGCCACAACTCTAAGGATTGATGTTAAGGACACAATTTGTATTCACTTGAACCACGTCCGAAAGGCTCTCCGTATGCATTTGGTCAAGATTTCATGACAAGCGAATTGGCCTTGATCAACTGAGACATGTACACCTAAATTGTACCCTCCAGCTGCTTCATCGAGGAGGTGTGAGAAACTAGTTCCGACAATTCCCAGCTTGCCCAGGATCCCGCGACACAAGCAACCAACGATCGGAGTTCTGGCATTGTAGAACCCGATTATCTCATGCAGCGCTTTCAAGAACGTCCGTGATGTGTATTTGCATGCCAGCATCCGCCAATTTCCTGAGCGCAGCAATAGTGTTTGCGTCAGGCAGATTCTTGTGCGACGAGCTACCCCTGGATTCAGATAGATCGATATGGAAGACTTTGAACTGTTCGCGGCGAGCTGTCGTTACATCCAACGTGGCATTCCACAAAGGCTGATAGAGGCCAACGATATAGACGGGAGGACAGTGATAGACTAGGGTTGCCAGACGACGAACCAAGGAGGGGGATTTGGAAAGCGCAAGGAAAAGCGAAGTCGCCGTCGTGGGAGTCATCCATGCGTCAAAAAGCTCGAGTTCTGGCACAGCGCGAAGACAATCAAGCAGAATGTCAGCAGACTGTTGCGTACTACCGTCACCCAAAATGAGCTCTTTGAGCGGTGGCGATTGAGTAGTTAGGAACGAAAGTATCGTGTCGGGACCCACTTCCTGTAGCGGGATAGAAAGGGATTCCAGCTTTGGCAACGAAAGATATTGAATGATTTCATCGTCACAATGTGGGCTCTTGTTGTTTTCAAAATCAAGCCGACGGACGTTGGGGAGAGCGATCTGGTCTCCATCGTCCAGGACAGCAGAATAATTCGTATATTGCACGTCAAACACACACTCGATGAGGTTTGGGGCTAGTCGCAGCAGCTGCACAACGTGTGTGTGGGAGACGCTCCAGGCATCTGAATCTTTCGGCAAGTGTCGGTCGCTCATTTTGAAAGTTTCCAGTGACAGTAACGGCCCGGGCGGACTAGCACTTCTCCAAAGCGCAACCTCGGGAGCGCCGTCCTCAGGCTCTTCCGGCAGCCAGATCTCCAGATGTTTGAGCTGTTGTGCGCGTTCCCAGATGGAATCTACGACGGCAGGGTCGAGTACTCCGTCCAGTATTATGGATAGAGGTCGTTTTCGTGCGCGACCAAGCCAAATCCAAATCTCGGGAAAGATTTTGGCGCAGGGAAAGGTAATATGGATGGCGGACCACAGCTCCGGCGTGGCGTGTGCGATGCGGCTCCAGGAATTGCATACATGGAGAAAGAGCGTTGGAATGTCAGCAAGTCCTGGCTTCCCGAAGCCATCGAGGGCGTAAATGAATATTTGTGAAGAGATTTCGATTGGAAGACGTGAAATCGGGTCCTGGATAAGGTTGAGCTCGTATTGAATCTGACTTTTCTCGCATTCCAGGTTTTTGAGCAGTTCGCGTTGGGCTTGAATCTGCTTGTCGAGTGTCTCGATGCGAGCACAAAGGGTTTTCACAGACATTCGAGGATCTGATGTCAGAAGGCGACGAGGACAGGGTGGATGTAGAGTGTGGGGAAAGAGCAAGAGCACAACATCAAACAACAACAGAGGAGCTTCACTCAGATTCATCCTTTGACCAGATAGACTATATAGTACTACAAAGCCTCCGAGTCCAAGACAGCAGCTTCAACGAGCTCCTTTGCGTCCGCGGACGAGACCATTGACAAGTCTCCAAGTTTCTACAATTTCCAGCTTCCAGCATCATATCATACAGCCAATTAACACAAACGTATACATGCAACAGAAAGAGCCTCATAACGCTGTCCCCCGCTCGAAACTTGCACGAATTTCCGCAGTGTACTTGTCGTAGTATCGAGCAATCTAGCGAGATACTTGTCAGAGTAGAACCAAGATCATCCAAGCAAACAGATCTACCTTCTTGTTGAACACCCGATTGTGTTCGTTGATATACGTGATATCGCCCTCGTCCTCGTTCGTCCGCTTCCGCGAGAACTTGCTCTTCTTGTCGATACTGCGCAAGAAAATATAAGAAAAAAGCAAGGGATCCGCCGGCGAGAGTACCCACTCTTTGTTAATCTTGCTCACGACCCTGTCAATAGCATCTTCCGATGGCTTGTTGTCGCCATATATAAGCGTATTGGCGTCGCGGTACAGATTCTCCGCAGCCAATCGTTGTTCCTCCGCCGTTGGTATCATCTGAAACCATTCGTCAGTCGAATCCCCCAACAGACGAGATTCCGAATTCAATACCTGTGACGACGAAGCCGTCGGGTTGAACGCAGTAAGACTCCCCGGTACAAGCCCCATAGCCAGCTCCTTCTGCCGATTATAGGCGGCCATATCCGGCTTCAGCAAGTCCAAATCCTTCTTATACCGCCTCCTCGCAGCATGCGCATCGTCATGAAACTCGAAATCTGCCCTCCGCGTCTTCCTCGCCTTCTTCTTCTCCCAATAATCGTTCTCCTCAATCGTCCACTCCCAATTCTTGGCCCGCTCCACCGCATCTGGCTCCCCCCGTTCCTCCGCGTCGGCTTTCGTCCGTAACATCTCCGCAAGCTTGCGTTGCTTTTCTAGCCGTGCAGCATCCCGAGCGGTGATTTGAGCTTTGGCGGATTCCTCTATCAGCGAAGCGCGGTTGGCCTTGGAAGATGCCGTGCGTTTTTGTCGGAGTGCATCCATTTTGGCTTTCCGCTCGTCCATTGTTAGCGAGATGAGAGCAGAAGGCGTTGCCACCTCAGACTCAACTCCTGTCATTGAATCGTCGGGCGGAGAAGGCTCCGGTTCTGATGAAGTGGACTGGACGGGAGGAGCTGCTGGTGCGCTGGGCTCTTCTTCGCCTGCAACGACGTTGTCCTCGGTCTCTTCCATAGCAACTTCCTCATCCTCTGGTTGGCTCTTTTTCTTCGGCGCTGCCTTCTTTCCGCGCTTGGACGTACGTGCGGCTGGCATTTGACTATTCAGACTGAGATGTTGAAGTGCAAGTCCAAAATAGGCAAGCGAACAAAGACACTACAACGGAATAACACAGCCTCATGCTCGCAAGTTGAAGTTGAACCTTTTGCATAGAATTTCTTTCCGGCATCAACGTGGCCAGCACTCTAGAATCTAGCGAATCGAATTACGCGGAACGAAAAGTACAGCTACCATTTACATAGATACCGATAAGTAGTTACGAGGGAATTATCATGAAAGTTCGTCAAAGTCGTCACAATGGAATTCAAAACAATATCACCCTTGCCTCAAATCCTCCAGAAACCGCAACACAGTTCGCACATTCTCACCTTCCTCAGCGGTAGCCCCATCCTCCCCATTCGAGTAGATATAGGCGAACTCCCGCGCATGGCCGATGAGCACATCGACCTTGGCTTTGTCGCCGTCATAGCGTGAAGGCGAGGAAGGCGTGGGTAGGAGGCGAAGTAGAACGGTCTGGTTTTCAGTGTTGTCCATCATGAGCAGACCGAAAAGGAGGGACAGGTGAGAGAGTAGGAGGCGGGACTCCGCTGCAGCCAAGAGGGTGCTGGGATCTGGAGGTTCCGGAGAAGACTCGCGTTTGATGTTAGGCACCACGGG